CCAATTCTTGGTAATAATTTCTAAGAATTTTCCCTCCAATTAAACAGTGTTTATATGAGTAAAACATTAAAGCCTCTTAATGTCTGAAGAGATGCTGTTTGATGTCTGAAGCTGTGGATCCCAGCCGGGTGGAGCTTCTCTCACCTGCAGCAGCGTCTCAGACCTCCAGATCTCCTGGGCTGCAGGGTCTGCGTTCACAGACGGCTGGTGGAAAATATGGTGCTTCAGGAGGCTGGGGCTATGAACGCCGTAACCAGCAAACGACACGCTGGAGGCTCTGGGCGGGAGAAAAGACAGCTTTTAATAAATCAATCATCTTTTCCTGACTGTAACTAAAAGCACCGGGAGTCTGTCTCCTGCTCAGAGCTGCTCCTCCTTTAATATTAGAAGATGAATCAGAGTTTCTGCTTCATCTAAATGTTCGTGGGGAACCGTCACAGCAAAATAAAAAACGCAGCACGATTCAGAATGAATACCTTTATAAAAGCTTTGTTGCTGTCTCTGTTTGTTGCTATATTTAAAGATATGCTGGTGAAGATTCTCAGTCATCCAGGTCATAGTCATTCCAAAATATTCAAAAAGCAATCCACTGGACTTTGTTTCCAAGTCTGAAGACGTTTCTCTTCCATCCAGGAAGCTTTTCCAATTCAAAATGTCAGAAATAGTGTTGAGTTCAAGGCTTTATAGAGTGGAACAAAAACAAAGCCTGGTTTTTGTTTAGAAAACATGCAAACTGAAACAGACGAACGGGTCCCCCCCCTTTAGAATGGGGGCGTTTGGCTTCTTTGTTAGCCTGCGATGCCCCATACCTGTTTAACGACCCTCCGTTTAGAGACATAGACAGGTATGGGGTGTCCCAGGCTAACAAAGAAGCCAAACGACCCTCATTCCAAAGGGGTGGACCCGTTCGTCTGTTTCAGTTCGCATGTTTTCACTCTATAAAGCCTCAAACTTAACGCTATTTCTGACATTTTGAATAGAAAAAGCTTCCTGGATGGGAAGAGAAACGTTTTCAAACGTGGAAACATTCCAGTGTTTTTTAACTATATTTAAGGATTTTAAATTTTCCCTCAAAATATGACGAGAGACAAATCTATTGACTTGTTTTCTGATGCACGACAATAACAAACTGACACTCATTTTCACTTTACAGTTTTTACATTTTCAGTTAAATAATTAGCATATTTTCAGCGTTGTTCGGCTTTCTAATATTTTTGTTTCTTCGGTTCCTCTATACATAACCTGAAGTGTTAAAATTTTCAAATGTGTTCGTTTGACGAATCGTTACCGTGGTGACGGAGCCGTGACGGAGCCTCTAGCGTCCGAGAACGGAGACGGAGGGACGCTTCCTTCGACGGGGAGGAAGTACTTCAGGTACATGTCCACCAGCACGAAGTAGGCGCTGTCTGTGGAGCTGCTGAGCTGAGGCTGGAGGCAGTTCTGAGGGCAGAGGGTAGATTGGAGCACAAAGTTAAACTTAGTTAGAGGACAGAGCCTGGTTTTAGTAACGACTCTGGGTCAGTTTGAAAGCTCTCTGACAGAACAGAACTCCAAACATATTTCTCATAATTGTAGGAAATTCTTTAGAAACTGTCCTAAATCCAGTTCATGATCTGGAAAATAGAAAATGTGTAAAATGTGGGAGCCATACGTCCATGACTTCATAATCCTGAAAAGCAAAGCTTCTGAAAACATGCCTGCCTTGGCAGAGATGATGGACATTTCCCAATGTGTGCGTTCTCATGCGCTCGTGTATCTGTGAAACGTCATCAGCATCAGCCCTAGTAGTGTTCCAATTCACAAGAACAGCAGACCGACAACGGACAAAGTCAGTTTCTCAATGTGCGTTCTTGAGCGTTCTCATGTGCTCGAGAGACGTCATCAGCCTCAACCCGAGAAATGGTCTAATTGCCGAGAACGGCAGTCCGAGAATGCGCCAAAATCCATGGATGTTGTTCTCGCCCCGCCCTCTTTACCCAGCATGCATCAGAGCAAACTCTTCTGTTCTTGAGATTGAAAGCTGTCCCAGCATGCACTGCGGCAGCAGCAGCTTTCAATGGAGTGCTCCATTGAAAGCTAAAAGTTCTCTTTTCTGTTGCTGTTGTTCAATAAAAGTACATTTTAAGATCATTTAAGGTGAGAATATTATACTTTAAAGCATCACTATATGGCCCATTTATTGATTTAATGCGTAATAATAATAAAAATGTTCCAAAGTTAAGAGGACCGCGGCAAGCAGCGGAGCTCCAAAGCTAATGGCAGCCAGGGCTAACCGCAGCCTGTCTATAGCAGCCCTCTCCCTGCATAGCCCTGTGTGAAGGACCGCTGGATCTGATGGAGATTTATTTTGTCTTATTTGGAAAAATTTTAATTTGATTTGTGTTTATCTCACTGTGTTCATTATTATTCCCCCACTAAATGAAAAAAGTTTGAATTTATTATTATCTAGAGCAGGGGTGCCCAACCAATCGATCGCGGGCGGAGTTTCAGTCGATCGTGAGAAGTTTTACAATATAGACCTATTTATGGCTATGACAAAATAAAAATAAAAAGTTTTAAAAAACACTAATCAAATCATTGATCATGAAAGGCCAACGTGTATTTTCATAATAATAAAATGAAAAATAAAAAGGATGCAGGGAACCTTTTTTCATACATGGTGATTGCTGGGCATGGTTTGCCACGGTTGCTAGGGTGTTACCAGGGACTCTAAAGCGTGAAGAGGAATCTGCAGAGATAATGACATCTATCACAACTGCTGGGGCTCCATCTATGGTTGGGTGCACTGCTGGATTCGTTGCTCTGTTCAAGCTGTCTGAAACTTTCCTGGATTTTTTGGATCAACCACTGCATCATTCAGCAACAGCTGTGCCGCAGTGTTTTAAATATGAAGCATGTCATGGATTCTTCGATTCTATATAGAACAGACGAGGCGTGTAAACTTGTTCTGTATATTTATTCCCAAACTTCCACAGAACCTTTCAGTAGCAATGTAAATTCAGAACTGCCCTCTCGCTCTAGCCTCCAACCCGTGACGCCACGCGCCGCATTGCATGCTGGGTATTGGAGTTCAAGAGCTTTCCGGCTCATAACATCACAGGAACTTTTGCCCGAAATTAAATAAATAGTCAACAACCCATCCTGCTGTATGTTACATCTTCACATCCACATAGTTTGTACCTCAGTATTTTCCTATTTTTATCTGTTTTCCTGTTAAATCTTAATCCATCTGCCAGTTTCTCTGCCAACGCCCAGTGAAGTTTATCATTCTGAAATAGTGGACTTCCTTCTCCTTCTTCCTGCTTTGAAGGGATCTTAGACTTTGACAGATTGTATTTGTCATTTTGTTTACACAAGTGTAAAACAAAAAGGAAATTTAGTTTGGAACAGCTCTCTGGACAATTTCATCTTTTTTTAAAGTGCAGCCTTG